GGGCTCTGGCTGTGGAGAGGGGCTGCGCTGTGGGGGGGGGCAGCGTGACGCAGAGGAGGCGGCACGTGAGAAGGCCTTGTTTTACACTAGAATGTCTACGCTGTTGGTCTTCTCAACCCCAGAAGGGATCCATGGTTGTATTAAACAAGAAGGGTCTCGTAGCGGTCGATGCATGGACTTAGAAAGACTCCTTTATTTTATTTAGTTTTTAGTTCAAAGACCGCAAGTACGGGGTGGAGGGGCAGGCACTCGGCAGCGTGCCCGCCAGTGCGCCCAGGCTGGGCGTGACCTGCAAACAGCTCCCCACCCCGGCCCCGCACCCCAGGCCCGCCACCTGGCCATGGAGCCATCTGGACTGGGGTGCCCGTCGTCACCCGCAGCCTCAAAGACCGGCCTGGCCAGGCCCGGAGCACCTCAGCACGCATGGCTGGGTGTCCCCACGCAGACGCACCCCGTCTCCTGTAGCCCGACACCCACGGGCACAGGCGGCCTGTGTGGGTGGGGCTTCCGGCCACTCTCTGACGAGCAGCGTCCTCGCCCCACCTGGCTGGAGCCTCAGTGTGATTCCCCTGCATTTTTCTGGGGGCGTTTGAGGCTTTTCAAGTCCCAGGCCAGGCGTGCTTCCTCTATGGATTGTGTGTTTTTGTACTTTGTCCATTTATTTATTTTTTAAGATCTAGTTATTTATGCACACAAGAACTGGAGTACAGGCCAGAGGTATGGGGGGCGAGAGGACTCCCCACAGACAGAGTGGGGAGCAGAACAGGCGGGTCCACTGAAACCCACTGCTGAGAGGAGGAGTGCTGAGACAGGAGCGGTCTGCTGCGCCTGCGGGTCCCTCCTGGGACAGCTTCCCAGTGCTGTGCTTCACCCCCTGCGCCACCTGGGCGGCCCTCTTTTATAGCTCAGTGACACATTTAGAAAGGTCTACTTCACCTTATATAACTCTGTTTGAATCTCCCAGAATTTTCGGACCCTTTCATGACGCTGTACTCCTACAATCTAGGTATTTGCTGCACCTGGCCCTGACCGAACAGCAAGCCCTCGTGTGGGAGGCGCCCTGGCTGGCCCGGGGCTCTGAGAAGCAGCTGGGCAGGGTCAGGCCCACGCAGTGCACGAGTCCTGGTGGGACCAGGGGTCACCTCCTCTCACCAAGTTAACTTGTGGCCAAAGGAGCACACGGAGGCACCACCTACCCTGGTCACTGCTCTCAGCTGGGGAGTCCTCGTGTCGAAGGAAAAACCTCACCTCCTCTCTCCGCGGGCCCCACTTCTGAAGGTGGTCGTACATCATGTGGTCAAAGGGGATCGGCCGCTCTGGAAGACAGGACACAGCTTACTTACCCCGAAGCCAAGCGGCTCCCCCACCACACAGAGCCACGGACCCCAGGGCCTAGGACGGACCTGCTCCTGGCAGGGACGGATTTGGAAATGCATGGAAAGCACCACACACACGTGCACGAGACAAGCGTGCCGCTTAGGAGTGTCGCGTGAGGGGCCCCGCGGCCCTGCTTGCACGCTCCCCACATGGGTCTGCCGGCAGCCTGTAGGTCAGGGGAAGGGCGGGAGCCTTGACGACCGCCGCCTTCCCTATGAGTCGGGAGGGCGCTCTGCCCCGCACTGCAGGACAGGACAGGACAGGCCCGGGTGCGTGCACCCACCCCCCACCCCCAAGGGCCCACTGCTGCCGTGGTCTCTGTTTCCGGAAAGCAGAGCCAGAGGCGGTCAGTTCTGCTGGGCAGGGAGGGCAGTGGCGGTGGACGGACCAGTGAGCCCAGCTGGGGCCGCGGACACAGTGCAAACAGGCCTAGACAGAACTCTGAGGAATTATTAAGCTTCACCCCACACTTCCCGTTCTGAAACACGGTCTGGTGGCTCTGCAACTCGCTGCGTGGAAGCTGCGTCAGCCTCAGTCTCGCAAAAAGTGGCATCTTAGGGCCCAGTTTTATTTCTGTTGCTTTGGTCCACGGTTTTAGCCACTTTCCTAGTCCACTCTATCAAGCACTCTACGTCAGCACCAATTTATGAGGTAATTATTAGTCAAAAGTCCTACCATAAACTTTACTTCAATCTACCAAGTCTGAGCATAAATTAAATGCCATTGTGTCTTCAACCAGTTACGCAACGAAAATACATGGCCTCTGTGCATTACAAACTCTGTCACAAGATTAAGTTCAAGAGAAGCGAGTGAAGCTCCGTCATGGTTTTTTTTTTTTTTATTACAAAGTTTATTTTTA